TCCAAGCACACACATATAGCCAAACATTCACACGAATACATAATAGAACATCCCCCCCACACTTAAGCACGACATTGTCCTCAATGGAGGAAAGATAAGGAGGGTAGAACGAAGTTACCAGATCAAGATTGAATGATGGTGGACGGGATAGGCGGTGCATTCCAGGAAGAGAGCGTAGTCGGAACACAAACACCCCACAAATCTCACAAAGGTTGAGTTATTGACTCTAAAATCAAAGAACGAAACTGATTCAACCGAGGATAAATAGGGAAAGAAATGTCAACCGACTAGTTGGGTTCCCTCCAAACAAGCGCTTCTTTCACGCCGTGAGCTGGACGGTAGCTCCTAAGTTTCAGTCCATGCTAAAACCTCTTTGAAGTTGAGGTTCTCATATATGAGGTGGAGTCTCAAGTCACGAGCAGGTGGTGTGGCAGGTGATGAAGGCTTGTGCACTTGATGCAGCCGAAGTCTCCACCCTCGAAACCTCTTCTTCGTTTCTTCTCTTGTCTCATTGCCCCAAACCAAATATAACCGTATCGACTTACCACCATCGCATCCACCAAGAGGGACCGATGTCGATGTGGCCTTGGTCTTGCAAAGAGACACTGCAAATGGGTCTTGCTAAGCAGTTCCTCGAAGTTTTGGAGGGTACTACTTGTATTATAGGGACGGTGAAAGCCTCTTCCACCTCAACTTCATCCTCAATCTGGACACCACTCGCTTCTTCAACCCCCCTTCCTTCCTCAAAATGTGGTCTCTCTCCTTGGAAAAGATCAAAAACTACCTGTTCTTTGCTTTCTTCCTCATCCTCCACAACTTCTTTCCTCACCCTTTCTCTCTCTTCTTCTCCCATAACGGATTGAAGAGCAAGTTGCCACGCAAGTTTCTCAATAAGTTCAGCTTGCATCTCCCCGCTTGGGCCCAGCATGTCAGAGCGGAAATGGGGAAATTTGTGATCTACCACCAGAGGATACACTTGATCATGATTATCATGGGAGCTTTCCGTGACAACTTCCGTATGCTCCTCAATATCCTCATGATTGCCTTCTTCTTCCTCCTTCTCTACTTGTATGGCAGCATAAAGGTTGTCTTGAGAAAACTATGAACAAGCTTTCTCAATGACCTCTATGTGCTTCTTTATGCTCCGAAGGGTATCCTCTGTTTCACGGGGGAAGGAGAAGTCAGTTTGGGCAATGGCCTGGATATGAGGATCCATCTCGGGAAAGAGTCTCTCAGGTACTCGAGCAATCTGCTCCACGAGAAGTCTCAAGTGATAGTTTGGATCTGGCTATGGAGTGTAGCATGGCACTGCCGGTGGCCCGTGAAGGCTGTGGCTAACTCAAGATCTGATGGCCCTTCTAGCTGTGGGAGGAATTCTTCTTGATAAGGATATTGTTCTTGAAATACCCAGGGGTCTGATTGTTCTTCGTAGTAGGGGGTTGGTACTGAAACCCGAGTCCATAGTCTTCTCCTCCTTGGTTGCTCCAGGAAGTCTCTGGGTAATACCACTCAGATGGTGGTGGATACCCCCACTGATTGGAGAAGCCATTAGGATCCATGATCAGATATGCACCAACAAAAACAAAAACATCCAAGTGAAAAGCAAGGGTGAAAATAGAAAACGCTAAAGCAACAAACTTTGGCCTTTCCTAATAATCTAGAAAGTGCCCGGCAATGGCGCCAAAAACTTGACACGCTAAAACACAACACCAAATTGCGACCAAGTGTAATCGCAGTCCGGAAATGCAGTAAAGTGGCAAGCTCTATTTGTAAACTCAGGGTCTAGATCTGCTGCCTACTCCATGATTATCTATTATCTAGCAAACTAAGTCGAGTGATTGTGATTTTAAGTAAAAGCAGTATGTAAGCAGGAAATGGTTCAAAGTTCTTTAGCAAGGGAAGAGTCACTCGGGAATGAGTCCCCCTAGTTCCTTAGTTACGTCAAGGTTGTAATAACCCTGGGTTGATTAACTGTTGATTAAACTGCGGAAGATCTGACAGTAGCTTGGAATCTCTTAAGCTGACCAAGCCCTCTCAGACAGACTAACCGGCAAGCGACTAGCCTTCACCTCGATAGACTGTTGAGGCAATAAACGCAGAACTTCACTACTGGAATTGGATTCCAGTACAAAGCATTAAATCGATTAACTCTCGTATAACCAATCTACCACTACCGATTGATGAAGATCTAACAACCTAATCAGATTCTATCTCATGTTGCAGCAGAAATCAAGAAAATATGATCACGCTTTAATCACGCATCAATCGATTAAAATCAATCAGTATATCAATCCACAGTCATTACAATCAAGATTCCTTACACATGGAACTAGGGTTCTTCATACCCAAGTGAGAGAAGGTTCTACTCCATAGAGAGAGAGAGAGGAAAACAGAAATCAGGGTAGTCATACTCATAAAGATGAGGATAATCTGCTCTGGGATGTCGATCTTCATTCCTGGGGATGCAATCAGGGCTTCAATGGTGAGAAATCCACTCCAAATAGCTCCTAGGTTTTGTTTTTTGCCCTTACTCTCTCTAAAGCTCTGTTTTTTGCTCAAGAACTCGACTCCTTCTCCTTTGGCTCGAATCTGCCTCAAAAACCCAATTCTAGGAGAAATACGGGCTGAATTACGGTCGTAAACCTGGCTTGCCCGTATTTCAGCCAAAACACACGTTTCACTTAACACTGAGGAAGGGAATTACGGTCGTCATTTTCAGTTTACTGCCAGTATTCATGTAATTACGACCGTAAATCAATCTGCTCTTGCCCGTATTTTGCTCTTCGACAGACATTCTCAAGGATTTGGCCCGACATTGCATTTACGGTCAAGGCAGAGGCAATTATGCCTGTAATTATGCAGGGGATGCCCGTAATTTGAGTCTGGAATCGCCAACTGACCTCCAAATGACCCGAAACTTGCACTTATGCATCTCTTTACTTGCTAGGACCTGAGATACGACAAAATAACAAAACCTAGCGTAAAATAGGCCAAGGCACCACAAATTCGAGCTAAAATTGTCAAGAAACAACAGTGCAAACATGTGCAAATACGATGCTATCAACGACTCTATTCCAACATTGGTGAATGCTACCAGGACGATAGAGAAATTACAGGTGTAGATTTAGGGTGATGGATTTATTTTGAGAGAACATTGTAGAGAAGGAAAGGATAACGTGGTTTTAGCAAGGGACAAGTAGGCTGTATGGCATTTTCTAGAATTTTTTATTTTTGTGTTTTAAACTAATGGGTTATAGGTATAATATGCCCCTCTACTATGATGTTCTATCAAACATCTTTGCCGATCTTTAAATCGCTGGTTGAGACTGTCGCTGTAACATCCCGTTTCGGCTTAACTCGTATTACGATTCCTAAAAAATTTCAAGATTTAAAATAGGAATATTAATCGATCAGATAAGTATACGTATTAATTATATTATATGTATATTTATTTATATATATCTCTACACACTAGTTACGTGTCTGATGGAAAGAAAAATTAAGCAAAGCAAGCAAAATTTAATATAGTGAAGCAGTATAGAATTGCACCGCCCACCATTTCATTTATATATATGTCTTTCTTTTTCCTTCGGTTCCATTATCTCATTTCCATAAACCGAAGGACATAGAGCAGCAACAAGGACGTACGGAGGAAATCGACGAGCTTTGACCTCTGGTTCTAGTGATCCAAAATTTGAGCTATCATTAGGCAATCGTTTTTTGGCTTATAACTGAATATTCGGCCAATAAATTCTTGATTATCCGATCCTAGGGATTAGGGCTTTAGAAGGTCCGGAAGTCGGATTAAGCCCAAATTTCATATACGAGATTTCTGTAACGAGGTAATTAATCCTCTAGTTCTAATCCATGAATTTCGGCAATTATTTAAGTCGGGGTCCAAATCCCTGAATTTAGCTCCGGTTAGGGTTTTTTATATGATCTCACCTAGTTCAGTTCCTAGTCTTCAATTGATGGACAAAGAATCCAACTCAGTTCCTTTAGCTAACTCTGAGTTTTTGCTAAGTGTTACTACAGTTTCACGTAGGTCACTTTGTGAGCTCGTTCCTTATAAATGGCTCGATGGAAATGGGGGATTGTAGGCTTGTTTGGAAGATGGGATAACCCTCTACAACGGGACACGTTTGGAACTCAAAAGGAATCCAGGAAGATCGATTTTCAAGCTTCTCAAAACGCTATGCTGACACTGGAAAACTGCCCAGAATTCTCCAAGTCTGGAAGACAGCTTGTGTACCAACTTGTGGAGCTTGGTTCGAGAGGTTTCGAGGAGAATCGAGTTCCAAGAATGCAACCACATGAAAGTACATTTTTCATAGAGCAACGAAGGCCAGCAAGATCGCATGGAAGCAGCCAAGGAGACTGTCTTGCAAGCAAACCTGAATCCGCTTCGGATTAGGATTCCTACTACAATGCTTACCTTTTCCGTTTTGAGTTTGTTTTATGTGTTTGTTTGAGTTAAGGATTTCCATAATGGTTTAAGACGTTAGCCTAGGTCTATTTAAGTAGTTCAGTTGCATTGTAACTGTCAGATTTCATTGATTCGAATACAAACCCGAGTTTGGTTCACAAAGCCTGTGCTTCGTGAGGTTAAGAGTTGTTTAGGAAGAGTTCTAAGCAACTTGAGTGCTTGTATCGTTCAGCTAATCACGGTGATCGTGGCTAGGCTTTGACATATCTATTGCGAGTCTTTCCCCGTTGTGTGGAATTACACGAAATCGACCATCCATCCATCTAAAACACCTTGTTTTGCTCGAGTTCTTGGAATTGGGCAAGCTCAATTCGAAGCTGCGCGATTCTGGAAACTAAAGTCCCATCTAGGGACTTATCAAGTGGCATCATCGCTTGGTTCAAACCCAGTGGACGAGACGAAGTCAGACGGTGTTGGAACGACGCGCTGGACTCGGTCGAAGGGCTCTGTTTCCGACGACCTGGCAGTTGTAAGTTCCAAACCAAGGAAGAAATATTCCAAAACAAGGAACCTGATGGGAGATCCCAATGACGAGGATCCCATGGTGGTAATTCAGGCTACTTTAGCCCAGATCAACGCCTCTTTTCAATTGCAATTGGATCACATTACTCGGCGACTAGACGAGAAGAGAACACTGGCCAAAGAAGTAGAGGCAGAACTAGTCGTGGCCCAAGAGGTTCGAGATGACCCAAACGACGCCACTCGTGTTCTGGATGAGAGGCTATGTAATATTGAAAGACAATTGGTTGTCATAGAAGGGGATCCGAACACGCGAGTTCGGGGCAATCGAGATTTTGGTCGGCGGAACACCGGAGCAGAGTTCGATGGCGCCGTTGCGGAGCTGCGTGGAATTAAACTAACAATTCTGTCGTTTCAGGGGACAAACAATGCGGCAGCTTACTTAGACTGGGAATGCAAGATCCTCCTCTTCTTCCAGTGTGGAAATTACACGGAGCAACAGTAGGTACTGCTCGCGGTGTATGAGTTCACAGACTATGCTGAAACGTGGTGGGAGCAGACCCAGATGAGACGACGCCGCAATTCCCAGCCTCCATTTGTTACCTAAGACGAGCTAAGAACACTGATGCGAGACCACTTTATCCCTGGGTACTACCAAAGAGAGCTCTTCGACTCTCTTCAATCAATTCGGCAGGGAACCAAGACTTTCGACGAGTACTTTGAGGAGCTTGAGATGCTTCTGTTGCGAGCAGATGTCCGAGAAGATCGGGAATCCATAATTGCCAGGTTCCTTCATGGACTGAATCGGGACATCATGCAAGAACTAGAGCTTAGGAAATTCGTCGAGTTAGAGGAAGCAGTACATTTGGCCATCAAGATCGAGAAGCAGGCCAAGACCAGGAGGTTCCAACCGAAGTGCAGCAGAGAACTCTTTGGAGGTAATCCCAGCTCCAATTTGACCAGAAAATCCCAAAGTTGCTTCCAAGTAGGTGACTCCAGCCTACCAAGGAAAGTTTGAAGGATCCTCTGGTTCCTTTCAATGCTTAAAGTGTCATGGTCGGGGACACAAGGCAAGCCAATGTGCAATTGTGAAGACCCTAATAATTCGAGATGGTGAATATATGTATGAGGAAGAGAAGGGCTCGGAAGGAGAAGAGGTAGATGAGGAACTTGAAATGGAGACCCCTCCTCCTCCAGGAAACCTCATCGGCGTAAATCGAAGGGCACTCACCATTGAGGCTCATTCAAACTCAGAATAGAGGGAAAACCTCTTTCATACCCGATGCAGCGTCAAGGGAAACTTGCTATCCCTTGTTATAGATGGCGGGAGCTGTACAAATGTAGTAAGCTCTAACATCGTCAAGAAACTCGGGTTGAGTACTAGCAAACATCCTGATCCCTATACCTTACACTGGTTGAATGATTATGGAGCCATTAAGGTCAACAAGCAGGCTAGAATTCAGTTTGCAATTGGGCGCTATGAGATGAGATTCAATTCGATGTGGCGCCAATGCAGGCTGCTCATCTGTTGCTTGGCCGTCCCTGGCAATTTGATCGAGGGGTATGCCATGACGGAGGAACAAACTTCTACAAATTTCGGCATCGAAACCAGAAGTTTGTGCTAAAACCGATAACCCCGGCCGAAGTCCGAGCTGATCAACGACATCTGGAATCAATTCGACGTCGACAGAAAGGGGAATCCAGTGCGGCAACCCCAGAGGAACCACAGGAAGCTAATCTGGTCGGAGTCATTGACGGAGGGTCGGGTCTCGCGGAAACAGCACGCACACTCCAAATCACCTCAGGAAACTAATGTGCAAAGTGGAATAGGACAAAGATCCCTGGGTCGGCGAACTCGATTCAACCCAAAAGTGCTCTGGAAATAGGAAGGCACGACGACAAACTGAGTTTATGGGTTGGAACTATTGGAGAAGAGTTGACTCAATCGGTTGCTACAAAATCATTCAAAACCATCTCAGGAAGCTCTTCGATCGATCAATTAGACCCAAAGTCTCCTGTATCCAGAACGCCCAATTTACGATTGAACTTTCTGGGTTTGGGAAATTTGAATGACGACGATGGCGGGAAAGAAGCTAGCAAAGATTCGACCACCGTGGCGATAATTTGAGGTAAGTGGGTAGGTCAGAAAGTCAATTGGGATCAAGGAGAAGATCGTGGAGTCCCTGAATTAGCCTGGGAATGCTTCAACTCAAAAACCCCAACTCACTCGGCGATGAACACTGACCTATTTTGTCAGAAACTCGAGCTTGAGTAGCCATATTGAGATCCAGTTTGGGTTCAATTTTGTGAGCGATTTGAGCAAAAGAAGGCCAAAGTTTTGAAGGAAACACTTTTTCAAGAGGGGGGGGGGCTGATATGATCTCACCTAGTTCAGTTCCTAGTCTTCAATTGATGGACAAAGAATCCAACTCAGTTCCTTTAGCTAACTCTGAATTTTCGCTAATTGTTACTACAGTTTCAGGTAGGTCACTTTGCGAGCTCGTTCCTTATAAATGGCTTGATGGAAATGGGGGATTGGAGGCTTGTTTGGAAGATGGGATAACCCTCTACAACGGGACACGTTTGGATGCTTAGTAGGAAGCCAGGAAGATCGATTTCAAGCTGCTCAAAATGCTATGCTGACAGTGGAAAACTGCCCAGAATTCTCTAAGTCTGGAAGACAGCGTGGGTACCAACTTATGGAGCTTGATTCGAGAGGTTTGGAGGAGAATCAAGTTCCAAGAATGCAACCACATGAAAGTACATTTTTCATAGAGCAACGTAGAGGCATTAGGTGATCCAGGCCATATCCTGAAAGCTTCCGACGAAGGCCAGCAAGATCGCATGGAAGCAGCCAAGGAGACTGTCTTGCAAGCAAATCCAAATACGCTTCGGATTTGGATTCCTACTACAATGATTACCTTTTCCGTTTTGAGTTTATTTTATGTGTTTGTTTGAGTTAAGGATTTCCAAAATGGATTAAGACGTTAGCCTAGGATTGGACACTGACCTATTTTGTCAGAAACTCGAGCTTGAGCAGCCATATTCAGATCCAGTTTGGTTTCAATTTTGTGAGCGATTCGAGCAAAAGAAGGCCAAAGTGTTGAGGGCAACACTTTTTCAAGAGGGGGGGGGGGAGGGGGAGCTTATATGATCTCACCTAGTTCAGTTCCTAGTCTTCAATTGATGGATAAAGAATCCAACTCAGTTACTTTAGCTAACTCTGAATTTTTGAGTACGCAGCAACACAATCAATCCAAGGATTGGATTGATTAAAACGAAATTTGAACCATAAACAATGATGTTCTTGGGTGTTTGGATAGAACAGAATCAAACGTGCAATCTTTCACTTGGAAGAAGGCTCGAATGATATAAAGGTAGATGCCCGACCACGATTGAAGTGACTATTCAATCGATACAAGAGCTCACGAGCTTGGAATCCACCAAACTCAACACAAGTCGCAACTTGCACAAAATCCCAAAGGTTCTCAATTCGATTAATCAAAGTCTCCTGTATTCAGAACGCCCAATTTACGATTGAACTTTCTGGGTTTGGGAAATTTTAATGACGACGATGGCGGGAAAGAATCTAGCAAAGATTCGACCATCGTGGTGATAATTCGAGGTAAGTGGGTAGGTCAGAAGTCAATTGGGATCAAGGCGAAGATCGTGGAGTACCTGAATTAGCCTGGGAATGCTTCAACTCGAAAACCCCAACTCACTCCGCGATGAACACTGGCCTATTTTGTCAGAAACTCGAGCTTGAGCAGCCATATTCATATCCAGTTTGGGTTTCAATTTTGTGAGTGATTCGAGAAAAAGAAGGCCAAAGTGTTGTGTGGAATTACACAAAATTGACCATCCATCCATCTACAACACCTATTTTTCTCGTGTTCTAGGAATTGAGCAAGCTCAATTCTTAGCTGCGCGATTCTGGAAACTAAAGTCCCATCTAGGGCCTTATCAGTTTGATGTGTTTTTATCGGGATTTTGACCTGGAGCCTAGAACTAACATTGATGGGGACACTGCAGGGGATATTAGGACGGTCTCAGATTCCAATTCAGGGTTCGTTCGTGAAATCGACCTTTTAGTACGTGAAGCTTAAACCGGTGTTTGAACGACCAGAACTAGTGAGGGATTAGCATGGCATACCGGGTTTGTCGTATCACGATAATTATATTGATGCTTAGAATTGACCTAGGTGAACTAGAATGGCATGATTAGGGGTGTATGAACTTTTGTGCTATATGTTGAACCCTGTACTGCTGTATGATATTATTGACTTGCCCTAATCGCTATGGACTTTGTTTTATGTTTATGATTGCATACATGTTTCCATTTGTGGCTTAATTTTTTATATGACTTCATGGTTGTTCGATCAGGTGTTTTGACATGATGTGATATTGTGGTTGTATTAGGATTCACAAGTGGGGGAAATAAACTTCCTAGTGTGATATTATGATGTTTTAAGGAGGATGACTTGCACGAGGGTTTATCCCGAGGAAGTGCAACTATACAACTCTTGGTTTACCTATGTTGAGCCAATTATGACCAGGTCAAGTACATGTGCAAGTAACGAATTATGATTAAGCAAGATGATATATGAATCATGTATAAGGATACCAAATATGAGTATTTTGGTCCCATGGTCAATTACATAGTAATTAGGGCTCCCCATGCTATTACTCTGTTATGATATGTTACGTCACACCCCTAATGTGGTGTTGACCGTTGATTCATCATGAGATATGACCACACCCAGAGTGGTGTTGAGTTCGTTATGACCACACCCAGAGTGGTGTCAGGTCCGATATGACTACACCGACAGTGGTGGGTCCGTTATGACCCCATCCACGAGATGTTTGGTCCGTATTCCCGAGAAATTAATTAGCATGGGAGTAGCCAGGCGCCTATAAGTAAAACATGATAAGACGCATATGCATAAGTCAAGGTGTTTGAGTCTTTTGCCCATTGGGATATGAGGATGGCTGAGGTCGGATCCTAGTGTTTTGGCTTGATTGCTAGATGAATGGTAGGGGTATGCTTTGTTATGAACTCATGATGCATTGATTGTCTCACTCAGCCATGAGCTGACCCTCTTTTATCGTCTTTCTTTGCTTATGCCATGTGTAAACAGATCATCATCATCATTAGCAGTAGATAGGTGTATAGGTGGAAGCTGAGCAAGATTTGAAGGCAAGATGAGGTATGGTCTTCAACTATTCTGTGCTTGGAAGACTACTTGGGATTTTGGCCAGTGATCTACACATTGTTGTAAAAATGTTTTGAGAACATTTTCATGTGCATACTATCTTCTGATGTTGTGTGAGATATCAACAGGTGTGGAAAGTTGATTATATGTGTATATGTGTGTGGTGGTGTATGTAGTGACGGTTATGACATGTATAAGTATGGTATGTAGTTGTAGAGTACGAAAATGTGACTATGGCTACGTAAGCCAATATACATGGTTGTGAGTATATATGTATGTCTATGAATGCAGGAATTCAGATAAATTATTTTGCAGGTCTAGTTGCAAGAACTGTTAGCCCATTACGCGAGTAATTCATGTCAAAATTTTATTGGTTGATTTTTGGTAATTAATGTAACACCAGTTTTAATATGATCAGGCAAAACGTACATAGTAGGGTGTTACTGGTGCTCTATGCAAATCCACATAAAGCGGTAAGATTTAAGAAAATCGTTGGCATACTAAAATGGTGCCATATTTTCATTTTGTTGTAGTGAAATCAATTGGTTGATGCTACTCATTTAGGGAGAATTGCACTAAGAACTAGCCAAACAGTTATGTACTAATAAAATAGTGTTGTTTATACTTTGTCTCTTTATATTGTAGTTCTCCTTACTATTAGTATAGAGTTGGATCTCATTTCAAATCTGAATATATTTTTGAAAGCAAATTAAGAAGCTTTCTTTCAACCAAAAATACTCTTTATTGCATTATGATAACCATCTGAAACTCACAAGTATTTGAGAGACTAAAAAATGGGGTGAAAGAGACAGACTCCACCTTCACTTTATATCAATAGGGGAGAAGTAAGAGTTGAACTGAAGAAAATGCTATCAAACCATTATTTATGTTATGCCTGGTTGCTTTCATTTTTTTTTTTTGTGCATTAGCAAATGTGTATATATGTTTCTTCATTTCCCCCTTTCTTAAGTATAATGTAAGTGTGCATGTATGTATGTATACATGCGACTAACAACACACTGACACTTGGAAAAAGACGTCGCCACTCGACATGTACAGTTGATGATGATGTGCTCATACACTAATAGTGGGAACGGGTTTGGAATCTTGAAGAGTGAGCAGCAACTCAAAAGCTCCAACCAAAGCCTTCACTTTGCTCTTCCTGTCCTCCACCAGCTTACTCGCTGTTTCTTCGATTACGTTGTTCTGTGAAGCTTGCAACACTTTCTCTCCTTGCATGTATTGGTGTCTCAATATCACTTTCTCGGTATCCATAAACTCGACTCGACGAGGAGGGCCTTCTCTCCTCCCGCCACCCTTCCTTAACACACCAGAAGTCACCTCAACTTTGGACTGTGAGCTGTCGCTTCGTGGTGCTCTCCTCTTAAACTTGAGCCTCCTCGGGAGGCTAGTAATCTCAGGCTTGAACTCGATCACTCTACCCGGCCTGAAATGAAGTTTCCTAGGCTGTTCATCTCGGTTTTTAATGCTCAATATGGTCCCACGTCTTGTGCGTCTGTTACTTGTCCTGGAAGTTATAACTCTATCCAATGCTTTCTGCTCTAGGACAAGGTCGGTTTCACAACTTTCAGTCGATGAGATTACACTGTGACAATCCTTGGATCTAGCCATGGGTTCAGAAATCACAGATCGAGCTCTGGAGCGCCGTAGATTAATCTTGTACTTCTCACGGAACGGATGAGAGTTGCTGCTACGAATGTGATTCTTTGCACCCGTCGACATATTCCTTGCCCTTGTGGACAGTGCACTCGATTGAGCATTATGGTTGCTGTTAGCCTCAATTTTATTGGTTGGTGAAGCTATTTTGATTGAACCTCTTTTCTCCGTGGCAGTTGTTGCTGCTTCCATATCAATATTAATCATGTTCTGCTCACCAACATCAATAGATGATGTGCTTATTGGATCTTCAACTCGTTCATTCTTGAGTTGCTCCATTTCATTAGGCTTCTTAACATTAATATTGTTATTGGTGGTCTGATCCTTTTTGGACTGAGAGATGGCCTTCATATTCTCAAGATTCAATCTCGAAGGATTTCTGCTTGGGCTCTTAAGAGGTTCCGAGATGGATTGTCTCCTCAAGAACTTATTCTTTGCAGGAGAAGAAATAGTCTCTTTTTCCTCACTAGCACCTGTTCTCGTAGAACCGACAGTCTTTCTGTTCATAGAAATGGAACCCCAATTCAGAGCACCAGTCACTGAAGCTTCCAACTTTTTAGTTCTTTGCTCTCTTCTATCTTCTCTAGCACTAAGGCTCTTTGGTAAATGAGACTTGCATCGCCTTGATTCTGTCCTCTGTTGTGTACCAAGACTAGTTATTTTGGAAACTTGAACGTCATTAAGTGAGAGTGACAATTTGGACATGCTAGATCCTCTCCTATGAAACGGAGAAACAAAAGCCTCAACTCTCCGGGGTTTCGAATAATGGCCTGATGATGATGGGATGCCAACCTCTGCCAAAGATGATGACGAGGATGAGAAGATCTTGGACAAGATGGGCAGCTTATTGGCTGAAGATGAACCTTCCACCTTAGGCACGGACACTGATCTTCTGGGATTTTGAGGTTTGGGACTAGCAACAATTTCTGATAGTACTATTGCAGGTTTTGGCAGGGGAGTTGTACTCTTCATAGAGGGCGACACATCTCTTTTCACTAATGGGTACAAATTTGGGCTGCCAAGGACACCTAGTTCAGAGGAAGATGATGAGCCAAGTCTGGATGGATTATTGTGAGTACCATTCTTGGAAAAAGAATGATTACGTCTTTGAGGCTTTGGGGAAACACCATCTTCTGAAACAATACTACTATTGGTTCCTCTCTTATTTGATGTGACATCTTTTCTACTACTCCCTGCAGTTTGGGAATCAAGTTTGGGGCTCCCAGAACACGTACTCAAAGCCACAGTCGTCTTTGCTGGAGTGACGTGGGATATTGCCATTTTCCTCCTCCTCTCCATCAGAGTTGCAGCAGCTTGCTTAAACATGTCATGATGCCCTTTGCCCAGTGTATCATTGAACCTCCTCAAAGTGCCTGAGCTACTCATTGTGTTGTGTGTCTCTTCATGATCACATTCTTCACCTTCTTTTCTCGCTCCATACTTGCAGTAATCGTGGCAAGAACCACCCGAGGTGGCAAGGTATCGGGAAAGGATTTTTACTTTGGTGTATGGGATGCTAATGTTCCCCGTTGAGAATCTTCTCACGTGTCCACCATTTGACACTGTTGTTTGCCCATCGACTTTACCTTCATCTTGATGAGGATGATCATTTTCATCCCCACCATCATCTTCCTTCCCAAGATCATTATTTTTGGGCACTAGCAAGAATGAATCAGTATCTGGAATCATGGGAAAGACATTGCTCTCTGAGGCCATAGGAAGACCCTCTAGAGCATCAGCTTGTAGGATTCTCTCAATCTTTCCCTCTACCATTGCAACTTCTTGGATGCCACAAAGTACACAAAAAAATGTATGGTGTGTAGATGGAAACCTATTTCTGGCAAGTTATTTTCTCCTCAAATTATCTTCAGAGGTCACCAGTGCTTGAATAGGCTTGTCCCTTTCAAAAGGTTGAAGTTCTAATGCTGCCTAAATCATTTTGTCTTCCAATTCCCCTTCCATCCAATATACATGTAGCATATATGGATTCAGGTTCCTAGAAATGAATCAACCAAAGAATTAATGTCATTGAAAAGAATGCGCTTGCAAGGAGATAGTTATATGAAATAATAAGCAAAAACAATGTAATACGATATTATTATTACAAAATGTCATTTATATAGTTTCCTACCAATTCCCTTTCGTTATGTGATAAGTAGCTCAAATCCATTGAAAAATTAAATAGGTTGCAAGCTATTACATGATTGACTAGAAAATGTTTTCCATACTTTTTTTATTTAGATCATCATAATTGCAAGACACTAGTAAAGAAAATTGAAAAAAAATGAAAATTCAAAAGAAGTTTTCCCAAAAACTAGGCATAATCATATATATGTATGAAACATAATTTCATAAGAAACCTAACGAAGGAAACAATAATGTAGCATATATACATATATTTTGAATAAATATAATACTTTCAGATATATTTAAGAAACCTAATGAAGGTAACAATCACGAAGTAATATATAACAAAGAAAGAGGAAGGAGAAGAATAATAAACCTTGGGTTTTCACCAACTAGTATTGGCGAAAACAAAAAGACAAAACAAAACTTAAGAGATCCTTCTTAAGTTCTTAAGAAGGATCTCTATTTTGTATTACTCTATGAGTTTAAGAAATTTGATTGGAAAGAATAATCAATGAACTAGGAACGATATTTTCAAGAGACAATTAGAAAGAGAAAAAATGGGTAGCGCCTTTGTAGTATTACCATTGAAATCTCTATAGTAAAAGAAAGATAAAATGAAAGGTTGTAATACAAGCGATCACGGTCCCATTAACCATAAAATAAAAATCACAACCTCATGCAAATCTTAGTGTGCCAGAAAAAATGGTCAAACATAAATGCTATCCTTTCATGTCCTTAACAGATAAGCCTAAAAACATCTCCAAAATATGAATAAGTAAGTAAATTGAAAGAAATTTGCACTCTACTAATGTTAGGAAGTTTGTTACTTTGTTTGGCTTGTTTAGATCATCATGAAAATTCATTATGACATGTCTAGTACTAACTTGTCTCACTACAAGATTAAGGACTAGGTTAGCATTTTTAGTATGATTAAAATGGTTTGTAAATCTGAATGGAATAGTCGGTACATATATCATTGGACTTTCGGAGAAGTCACAACATAGTTTCTTCCCTCAGCTTTTGGCTAATTCTCATATACTGCAATACAATTTCTCTCTGCTATCAACTATGTAATCGAGTGATTTGACATGGTATCAAAACTCTAACAACTCAATTTACTCGATTTATTTTCTTCTGCTTTTTATTTTACTATAAATCTATAATCATGCCCTCTATGTAGGATTCTTTATTTCTTTACATTAGAGGAGCCAACGATGTCATAGCCAATACTCATTCTAATCGTTGAACATCGTCGAACAACAATAATGGCAATCGGAGGATGCCTAAAAAGTTATCTGGACTCTCTAATCTGTCCATTCACTACAAAAAAGCCTATATTAAGGGTTTACTCTACCATGGTTTTTATGCTACCATGGATTTTATGCGGAAAAATCACATAATACACTTTTTTTTTAATTCCAAAAATACACACGTTTTATGAAAATTTCCAATATACACATGTTTGGACATTACCGCAATTAACAAATGCAGTGAAATGCATCACAGCGGGAGAGGACAACAGTGAATGCATCAGCGCGGCTGTCGACCGCGGTGAAGGCCTGACCTGTGGTGAAACTTCAAACAGACGTAACTTTATGTTCCGTTATCCGATTGTAGCGATTTTTTTTATTCCGCATAATTTTTTTAGATCTTGCAATCAACTAACATTCAAAGGCAGTTTGGTCCCGCCTTTGTCCTAAAAAATGTCATTTGCTACCCTAAACGTGCAATTTTTTTATTTTTCCAAACTTTGAGAGGCCATCCCTTTGTGCTCCGCAATCCGAACGTCATGAATATATTTTTATTTCACATAAATTTTTAAGGACTACAACTTTTACTAGGAAGGAATTTTCAAAACAAGAAATATTCTTGGATATACGGGATTTTGGGAATTACTTTGCCTTTACTTTTCACAAATCCAAATACATTCGGAAATTATGTCTATTAAAAAAGTTGTAGTCCTTAAAAATTTATGCAAAATTAAAAAAAATTCATGACGTTCGGATTGCGGAGCACAAAGTTATGTCATTCCAAAGTTTGGCAAAATAAAAAATTTGCTCATTCGGGGTAGCAAATGACGTTTTTTTCGGTACAAATGAGGACCAAACTGCCTTTGAATGTTAGAGGATTGAAAGATCTCGAAAAATTATGCAAAATCAAAAAACATTTCGCTACGATCGGATAACGGAGTGCAAAGTTACATTTGTTTAAAGTTTTAGCGTAGGTGAGGCCTTCACCGTGGCAGACAGCCGCGGTGATGCATTCACTGCTGTCCTCTCCCATTGTGATGCATTTCACTGCATTTGTCAACTGCGATGATGCCCAAACATGTGTAGTTTGGGAATTTTTCATAAAACGTGTGTATTTTGAGAATTCTTTTTTAAAACGGGTGTATTCTGGGATTTTTCCCTATAAAACCCATGGTAGAGTAAACCCTTACTATAGGCTTTTTTTTGTAGTGAATGGTCATATTAGAGAGTCCAGATCAATGTAGTCAAAATCGCGCTTTAAAACTTAAAAACTTACGATTTTACGTTTCTAGGTTACTAAAATGCTTCTACACAAAATCTCTGTTTTTATAACTTATGTAGTTAAAAACTCCGCTTTAAAACTTAAAAACTTACGATTTTACGCTTCTAGATCACCAAAACGTTTCTACGTAGAAACTCGCTTTTGACTACATTGGTCCAGATAACTTATTAGGCATCCTCTGATTGCCATTGTTAATAGGTTCCGAAAGTTCAGGATTAAATTTTCGTTTGTGATCACGTATAATTTCTTCCGAATGGTAACCCAAGATCTCAAGCTGTCCACCTGCCATGGGCTCCTGCAGTTTACCAAGAGGTGGAGCTGAAGGCTGTGGGATACATGTAGTCATCTAACGGTCAATGGATTTTTTGAATTGTGTAGGTTGTGTAAAAGTATTAGCTGATTATAAATGGTACTCCTCAAATGCTTTTATTGTGTTGGTTTCAACTTCAGTGATCTTCCTGGCTAAGAAGCCTGGTAAAGCTATTGTGAAAGTAGTGTCTGGATTTGAGCCCTTCAGTTATGATTGGTACACTCATAGAACTGAAACTATTTACATCTCTATTCGCATGCATATGCTTGGCTTGATGCAAACAATTTTTATCAGTGTGATTGTAAATTCCATTGATAGCATGTCTTGATCTGACCGTTTAACATGTGGAGAGAAGTTTCAAGAGTAGTGAAGGTCTTCATGCACTGACATCAATGCTTATACCTAATACATCTCCGCCACAGAAACTCAGCAATGATGTTGTGGTGCACAATGGTTTTGAACATCAATTGTATGGAGTTGTGGTGCATTATGGTTTTTCGCCTACCTCTGGACACTACTTTTGCTATATAAGGTCGTCACTGGGTAAATGGCAGAAGTTAGATGACTCGGGTAATGATTACTATAATTCAATCAAGAGATGCTTGTTTCTCGAGGACTAGATTTTGTTGTACATATACTGATGACATTTATTTCTACCCATATTTCTGTTTTACAGGTGACAGAATGTCAAGAAGAATTTGTATTATCTCAAGTTGCATATCTTCTATTGTATGCCAAAGAAGGTACACCTTGGTTTCAAATTTAATGGATGCACAAAAGGTACGTCAAGGTTTGGGCTATTCAAGTACGTCTCCAAAATCTGTTCTACAAACCATGGAAGTGGAAGAGTTGACGCAACCCGGATCACCTCGCAAGATGTCCATCGAGTTCGAAGAACATACAACGATTTTGGTCTGGAGATGAAGGCTTTAGAGGTTCAAGAATGCATTCAAGGGGCGGCTTCAAGCTTATTTGGCCCAGAATTTCACCAAAATGGAGGCTGACTTGTTCGTGCGACGAGAAGTGATGATCATTGGGGTTGGGGCTGTTTCAGTACAAAAACTGGTCACGAAGGTCAGATACTCGATCGGGTAATTGAAGGAAGTTCGAGTATTGTGATCAGGAGCCCCCCCCCCCCCTCGTGACTGATAAATACCCTGTTGGATATTTTTTAGTCACGATAGGGTATTCTGCCTAGGGATACTGACGAACTGTTTTCTATTTCCTTTGCGGATTATTTGATTTTTACTCCAAAACTCGGGTTTCCTTGTTATTTTTTGCCCAAAACCTTTGTAGCCTATACAAGGGGCTGAACTAAGTCTTTTAGAAGGTAAAAACAATTTTATTCGGGAATACAAACTAATGCAATCTCAGTTTGCAGGTTTCATGAGTATGTTTTGCTTGGCCAAGAAGCAACCATAGTTTGGAAGAGAAGAAAGCAATTTTGGCCAAGTATAGAAACAGAGTTGGGATACCTACTTTGGGGACTCGGTTCTTACTACTAGTTAAATGAAATTCAGGTTTAATGGCTTGTAGTGATGATGGAGTGCTGGTGTACGCTTTGGAGTGCTTGGGAGCTCGAGGGGAAGTCCAGAAGATCATATTCCAAGCTATTCAAAAGTGTATATGGAAAACTGAAAGCTGCCAGAATTTGGCTAATGCAGAAACTATGTTCCTGAAGCCTACTTTGGGACTCTTTTCGAAAGGCATGGATGAGGTTCGAGTTCATAGGCTTCTACCACCTGAAAGTATGTATTTTTGTATACAAAGGAAAGGCATTGGGTGAAGAAATGGACACCTGGAAGGCTTCGGACTAAAGGCTCAAAGTTAGTACGAAGTCACAAAAGTCTGCGTTGTAAAACACAGTTTCTTTTCCTTGTTTGATTCGGATTCAGTTTCCTTGTTTGTTTGGAGTTTCTATTCGTATTGTAAGCTAATTAGGATTTCCTTATGATTAGTTAAACATAGCTAGCTATTATTTAAAGGGTTTACAATGTATTGTAACACAAATTACGTTAAGATTAAATACAATTGAGTCTTGATTCATTAAGCTTTTGCTTCGTGAGTTTTGATAGAGTTGCTTGGAGGATCCTACGCAACTTGAAGACTTGTATCGAGCAATCACCCACATTGTCCGTGGACGAGTGTCTACCTATCTCTTTTGAGCCTCCTCCCTTGCGTGAGGTTGCACGAAAGTGACCACCAAACCATAACCGAACCTGCCCCTATTCGTTTATCCTTGTTGTCTTGATACAATTCGTTCGTTGAATTGTGAAGCTGCGTACATTCTGATCAGGCCATCCTTCTATGATCGCATCACAAACCCTAGAATTGGTTGTTCAAACACCAACGTAAGTGACCAAGGGAGATGAAATCGAACAATCAATTTGAAGAGGCTATCCAACATAACATATCATGACATGAATTGTTTCAACCTATAATACTTAGTAAAGAGTTTCAAGGACAAAGAGATTGAATAATCAATCGTTGTATTCTAGGCAGTCAAAAAATAAATCATTTGTGATGCAATAAAAAAAATTAATCACATTACTTTAGATTACTTTGGTTGAGGTTAATAAAAACTACTCAATAATTAAGAAAAGCTGTAGTTGCCTTTCAAAGTATTCATTTCAATTATTCCCTTTATTTGTTATGTTTGTTTTCTTGAAATTTAACATTTCTGCATATTAAATACTGCTATTCGATATGCAATATTGCAAACAATGAT